GCCTCCCAGGTTCGAGCAATTCTCCTGCCTCAGCCTCCCAAGTAGCTAGGATTACAGGTGTGAGCCACCATGCCTGGCTAATTTTTGTATTTTTAGTAGAGACAGGGTTTCACCATATTGGCCAGGCTGGTCTCAAACTTCTGACCTCAGGTGATTTGCCCATCTCAGCCTCCCTAAGTGCTGGGATTACAGGGATGAGCCATTGTGTCTGTCCAGAAATTAGTTTAAATCAAGGGTGGCAAACTGGCAGTCAGAGGTGCTGAATGTAACCTGAACAAGGATTTTTTTAATTGGGAAATTTAATGTAAAAGTACATATTTCCAATTTTTCTTTAAAAATTAAAACCAGAAGGTGTGAAAACACTAGGCCTGCACTCTTTTTTTTTGAGACGGGGTCTCACTCTGTTGCCCAGGCTGGAGTGCAATAGCACAATCTCGGCTCACTGCAACCTCCCCCTCCCAGGTTCAAGCCATTCTCCTGCCTCAGTTTCCCAAATAGCTGGGATTACAAGCGCCTGCCACCGTGCCCGGCTAATTTTTTTTTTGCATTCATAGTAGAGACGGGGTTTCACCAACCCATGTTGGCCAGGCTGGTCTTGAACTCCTGACCTCAGGTAATCCACCCACCTTGGCCTCCCAAAGTGCTGGGATCACAGGCATAAGCCACCATGCCATGCCCAGCCGGCCTGTACTCTTGAACTGTAAAAACCGCTGGAACTGAGTGGTGGCTACCACTTTGGACAGGACAGGGACTCCCCAGGATTCTCCATTCCCTGCTATTCTCACCTGTTCCTCACATGGCTCCTGCATGACTTTATGCTTATAAGCTTCTAGTGGCCAGAGTTTGCATTTTTTTTGAGACAGGGTCTCACTCTTGCACACGCTAGGGTGCAGTGGTACAATTATAGCTTACTATAGCCTCAACCTCCCAGACTCAAGGGATCCTCCTGCCCAGCCTCCTCAATAGCTGCGACTATAGGATCATGCCACCACACCTGGCTAATTTTATTTTTTGTAGAGGTGGGGTTTCACTATGTTGTCCAGACTGGTCTTAAACTCCCGTACGTAAGTGACCCTTCCTCCTCAGCCTCCCAAAGTGATGGCATTACACGTGTGAGCCACTGTGCCCAACCTGGCCCCTGACTTTTCAAACCAGGGATTACATAAACCAAACTGACTAGAAGAATACAGAACTATGCTCGGAGACAGGGAATGATAGCCTATGCCTCACAAATTTGCTTGGGATAATTCACACTTGATGAACGGAAAACTGCATTTACACATCAACATTCTCTTCAAAATAACTTAATAAACTCATCTTAAGTGTAAAAACCATACCTGCCAAGTTCACAGGCAACTATTGGTCGTCTCAATATTTCCTGACTTAGAGTACAATAGTTCCATTGGGCCACTAATTCAGCATCTTTGTCAACCTAGTAAAAAACAAAAAATTCAATTAATGTTCATCTCTGAAAGACACATGTTTAACAATTCTACATATTAAAGTATTTTCAGTAATACCACACTAATGA